GAATCATAGCAAAAATGTTTTAAAAATTCTCTTGAAAGCCTTTCAGTCACTCTGGCTACAAATCTCAAATTGTAGCATGAAGACTTTAGTATCCCTTCAGTAAGTCTATCTTCCACCTTCACAATGAGGAAATGGGCAACCTAGGGGCAATAGATCACAGCTAGCTTTTAATCCCCCTGTTTCCTGTTCATTGTGTTTGCTTTTACTTATGGCATTGGTATAGATTTCCCATTTACAGCAAGGCAATTAATTATTTTATTTTCAAATCAATTTAGTAAATCAAAAATGTGTTTAAAGACAATATTATGAAAAAAGGCAAAAGATAATATTATGGAAACAACAGGGTGTACAATACAGGGATGTGTGTGTGTGTGTGTGTGTGTGTGTGTACCTGTGTGTCGGGGTTCGCTGACTAACAAAGCACGAACCTTCTGTATGTGGGAACGGAGCCTGTACTTCCTCCCTATTCCACTTGCTTGATGGCCTGCCATCTCTCCGACAGGTACTGAACACGGAAGCCCTCTGTCTGCTTCAGGGCTGTGGCTTAGCCTGCATGGTAGGTGCTCCCTAAGTACCTGGTGAGCAAAAGCAACACAACACCAAAGGGATTCATTTGAGTAATTTCACAAGGTACTCTTAGTTCAAGATATGTAGCAAGAGACGGTGAACGTTACCAAAGAAATGACCGCATCACTTGGGCAGTCTGATTTAAAACTGGGGAGTCAATGCAAAGGCAACCACCATACTCATCCTTAGAGTTCTGAGTGCGAGGTCAGCTGGCGGGGCTGGGCAGTGTCCTGAGCTGCAGCAAGGAGGGCCTTATGCTGCACAGACAGCAACACACACCACTGCTGTCTGCTGGCCCAGAGCTCAGACTTCGCCACAGGGTTTTCATGAGAATGGCATTGGCAAATGGCCAAAGTTCTACAGGCAAACTTTCCACTGTCCAAGAGAACAACAGGTCTTCCCCTGGGAAGAAAAGGCCTGACAATTCTGGGGAGGTCACAGGCGAGTTCTGGCCTGGGAGACAGCAGAGCATGGCCAGTCGGGCACATCAGGGCCACTGTGAGGGGACAACGATGCTGTTGTGGAACCAGACAACTTCCCTGGGGGCCTCTGCTCAGGCGTGGCCTTTCTCTGGTGTCTATAAAGTAAGGGCTTCTCCAGTCTCGCTGTTCATCCCTGAGATCCTCTGGGTGTACTTACGGGCACCTAGGTTTGTGCCAGATACTTGTGCCAAGTATTCTGAAAATGTCATTTTCTGCTCATTAATAAGCTGTGAAGTCTAGGAATTGATCAGGGACCTGACCAGTCCACAGCTGATGGCAATCTGCTCTGGGTGAAGTCCCCACCCCACTCCACTGGCCGGGCCTCCTATGTGGCTCCCTCACCACAAGGTTGCAGGGGCCAACACCAGGGCTGGAGAGGACTCTGCAGGGTGTCTTCACTAGCTGTGGGCAGGTGCTGGGTTTGCTGCAGAGGGATCTTGTTATCTCTGTGACTGTGTGGAAAATGCTCTGCCCGTCCCGTGGAGCAGGCAGGCCACCTGGGCATTAAGCAAGGTGGGCTGCTATGTATGGGTCATGTGCCTCTTCTGGTTTTTTTTTAGCCTCCACCCCCACCCCCACCCAAGGCCACTTGGTCAGCCATATACGAGCAGGTACCATGTAAACTGGATGTCTTTAGAGGTTCCTTTTCCTTCTCTTCTTCCTTTCCCCATGTGTTACTTCCTGAAGACTTGCAAGTCCCTAGTGGGTGTTCATAGAGCCGTGCTTCCTGAGGACAACGTTCAGTTCCTGGGAGAGGGAAAGCTCACATGAGGTTTCTTTCCTTCAGGTCCTCCCGGGAGCATCCTTTGACATAACAGGAAGTCAGGAAGACTAAACAATAGAGGATTTAATTAGAGCAGCGTCTACCTTCTGAATCATTCTCCTGAAAAAGCAGGCTCCCTTGCACAATGGCTTTCAGGGAGAAATGGGAAGATTCAGCTGGAGAAGGCAGCTCTAAGCCTAGGGTAGCCAAGGAAACAGGAGGAGCTCTGCGGAGAGCATCTGCTCAAGGTGCTGATTGTCCTCCATGGGTCTTCTGTCACATGTGAAGGTGCAGGAAGAAGGCAGCCATCTGCAAGCTGTTGATAATGCCCTACATGGACTCTGATGTTGTCAGCGAACAGTGACAATTTTTCCTTCTCCTCTTCTTCCTCCTCAACTTCCTCTTCCTTCTCCACTTCCTTCTCTTCCTCCTCCTTCCCCTCCTCTTCTTCCTCCTCCTCGCCCTCCTTCTCTCTCTTCCTCCTTCCCTTCCTCCCCCACTTCTTTCTCTCCCTCCTTATCCTCCTCTTCCTCTTCCTACTTGTATCTCATATTGATGCTTTGTGTTTTTTTCTTGCCTATTTCCTTTGGCTGGGACTTTCCAGTACAAGGTGGAACAGAAATGACGGTAGTGAGCATCTCAGTCCCGCTTCTGATCTTACAAGAAAAGCTTTTACAACGTTTTGTTATTATTTTTCTGAGTGAACTATTATTTTTATATAAGAATAAGAAAAAGTGAAAGATTTTTATTTTATCTCTCTTCATTCCTCAACTAGTGCTCTTTCTTTTTTATACAATTTTTTAAAAGACAGGGGAGGGCTCAGTGTATAGCATTTCTTCTACTCTTTTAACCTTCCTTCTCTTCCTGTCACAGGGCTTCTCGTTATGCAGATTTACTCCTTTAATAGTTGTCCCACAGTTCTTAGAAGTCCCATTCTTTCTGCGTTCTATTTTAAAATCTTTGCTTTTAATTTGGGGACATTTCTATTAACATATCTTCAACCTCACCAGTTCTTTTCTCAGATGAGTCCAGTCTATTGATTCTTCATCTGATAGTGTTTCACTCTAGTCTTTTTGATTCATGGAAATTTCTGTCTCTGCTTGTGGCGCCAACCCATTCTTGCATGTTGTCTACTTTTCCCACTAAATCCCTGAGCGTTATCAATTATAGGGTCCCCCCCCCCTGATACCAGGGATTGAACTTGGGTCCTTAAGTTTGAGAGGGAGGTGGCGTCACCACTGAGCAAATCCCCAGCCCCGAATTATAGGTATTTTAAATTACTGACCTGCTACATCTAAAATCTCTGCCTATCTGTTACTTCATTTTGTTTCTTCAGACTATTTTTTTTTCTTGCCTTTAGCCTACTGTATAGTTTTGTTGTTGATGATGAAGCCAGGCATGATGCATAGATGATAGGAGCTGAGATCAATCCGTTTTCAGTTAGAAGTTTTATGTTTATATGGCTAAGAGTTAGCCTGTCTTTAAAGTTTCCTATGCCCGTAGTTGTTAGTCTCTCCTATAGACGTCTTTCTATATCTCATCCCCGCTTTTGTTTCAGTTCCTTAGAAACTGCTTCTTTAAATTATGTCTATGAATTACTGTTCTCCCAGTTGTAACCTACTATTCTACTGGAGTGGGGTCGGTGTAGCAATGTGTTATGAATTGTATTTAGATCCCCGCCCCCCGCAGGCCTCATTCACTCATAGCTGGGGCTTTTTGGAGCTGTCTGGATCTAGGGCATGTGATGCTGGGGTTAAGAACATATGGTACTAAATTAGTTCACTGATTGGCTTAGCATAGTTCTGGGTGTGGGAAATGGGAAGGCCCACTCTGGGTGTGGTTGACACCACCCAAAGAGGCTTGTAGTCTGAAGAGAATAAAAGACAAAGGGAGGCTTGCTTTGCTGCTGCTGCTTGCTGCCTTCTACCTGCCTTGCTATGGACTGTTTCTCCTCTGTGACACTCCCCTGCTATGCTGCCCTGCCTTGAAGCCAGCCAGCTATGAACTGAAACCTCTATAAATTGTCAGATGAAATAAACCTTTCCTCTCTAACGTGTGGAAGTTGGATATTTTGTCCCACCAACAAAAAAGTAACTAAGATAGAATGGGTGCTGTAGAGGGGAAGCAATGAATAATCTTATGATCACATGTCTATTCTTTAGTATGCCAAAATCCTTGGGCTCTGACCTTCAAAATTTCTTAGCCTTTTTCTTTAATGTTATGAAAGACAGGAAGTGTAGTCAGGCCTGAGTGGTCTATTTGCCCATCCCCCTAGGTTAGTTAAAGCTCACTTAAAGTATTCTCCTTTGAGGTCAGGTCTTTGTCAAAGAAAACCATTATAAATGTTCCAGGTATATTTTCAATTGTATACTTCTCCCCGCTGCCGACTCTGTAGCCCCCATACCCGCCAAGGAAGCAGTGAAAGAAGCTTATGAGGCTTCTGGAGGTAAAATTCACAAGTGTTGAAAACCCCTTTTGAATGTGCCCACTGGAAGTATGAGCTCTCAAATTAGCTCATGTTCAATCTGAGAAAGCAGTGAGCAGCACTGCCATTTACATGTTTCTGCCAGCTCCTCAGTCCACTGGCATTTGTTTCCAGCAAGGTGATTCTTGGTATTTACTGGTCTCTGCAGTTTTGGGTAGCAGGTTGCACTGAGACCCAATTCTTTGATGGGTTTAAGATACATTGATTTTCAGTTTTTTAGCTTTTTCCTTTACCTAACAACAGGCGTGAGTGGCTTGATATGTAGGAGTGAATTGAAAGTCTTTCACATCTTTATGTGGATATATATGTGGTACTTGGTGTTGAACCTAAGACCTTTGCATTGACCTATATCTCTAGCTCCTTTTTAAATTTTGAGCCCAGGCTGGGCTCTAATTTGAGATCAACCTGACTCAGCTTTCCAGAGTGCTGGGATTACACGTGTGCACCACCAGGCCTAACTTCTGAATTTCTTAATGTGCTTATTTCCCATCTATATATCCTGTTCTGTGAAATGTCTGATTTGCCTTTAGCCCACTTTGTAATTGCTTTTTGCTTTAAAAAGATTTTAGAAACATTATTGTGATGGCTAGAAGAGCTACTGCAATGACATTTTGAAGTAGGAGAGAGACTGGGGTTAACTCTGATTATCCAAAGATTTGTTTTATGGTCCATGTTTTGAGATATAGAGGTAAATGCTCTATGCATGCTTGCATAGAATGTTTATTCTGCCGTTATGGGGCGTTGTGTTTTGGTGCTGGTATAGGGTCCTATCAATGTTGATTTGTTCCTGTTGTCAGTGTCGTTGAATCCACAGAGACACAGACAAAAATGTCTTGAGATGACAAGTTCTGGTTGTGTCCAGTCTCAATGAGAGAAGCTACACCTCTGCCTGCTTTCTTTCTTTACGATAGTTCAGCCCTGCATAGCTACATCACTTCAACATGGCCGCCCACAGGCTGCAGTGTCACCATGGGCGCAGCCATATTGGCACCGCCACGAAAAGGAGTGTAGCGCCTCATAATGTTGATTACGTACTGGCACCCTCGAAGCAAGAAGCCTCTGCTGAGCATGCGTAAATAGGCTGTAGGCCGCGCCCCCAGGAGTTTGGCCGGCGGGTGAAGTGGGGAGAGGGAGTAACCGGAAGTGGTTTGCATTTTCTTTTCTGCAACCCCTGTCCTGGCGGGAGGCAACTGAGAGAGCAGTGTGAGTGAGGAGCAGGTGAGTGCAGGGATGGACCATCCGTGTTCTGAGTGGGGAGTGTCTGTCAGTGACGGGGCTGGGGAGTGGATGACCGGGTCTGAGCCACCTCTGACTGTGGGTGTGCGGCTGAGCGAGGCAGGATGGGGGAGCTGTAAGACGACCGCTGTGGGGACTGAGTAACGGGACCTTGGGGAGTGCTGTGGATCTTAACTCATTTTTCTCTCCTTTTATGCTTGCCCGCTGTGTTTACATTTCTGTTTCTGACTCATAGTGACATATTTTGCAAGGGATTGAAAAAGTGTTTTCCATGGTTCACATAAAAATTTTCATGTATGTTATTTTATTCTGTTCCACATCCAGATTAGTTCACCATTCCTATTAGTATACTTATATATTATTTTTTCTTTTTTAAAATATTAGGCATTTCCAGTTTTTGTCTGTTTTGTTGACCACTTTGAAGTACTGGCTCATGGCTGTATTTTTAATTCTCTGTTCTTGTACTGTTTTCTCTTTTCAGTTATTTTCCTGTCGCTGCTTTTGATGTAATTTTTGTTCTTTCACTTTTTTTTAAAGATACGTAGAATAGATGTAATCTGTAGCTACGAAATGCCTAAGTTAGGGGCAATTTTGGACACCCAGAAACGTGCAGAATCTGTCCCCCGAAGGCAATCCCGAGAGCCACAGAGACCCCCGCAGTTCACAGAGGTTCTGGCTGAAAGTTAGCTTTGCACACTGTTTCAGTGCAGTACTTCTCAGAAAGGCCAAAGGCTGTCTGTCAGCTCTTCACGTTTGTTTTTCTTGATATCATTAGTGCGTTCCTGTGGCTTTTGGGCGCCAGCCCTCCTCAAAGGTGGAAACCCTATTCTGCACCTGCTTCTCTCGCTCATTGGTATGCTATTAAGTGCCCTGCAGCCTTTTCCTCCTCCTCCAGCCACTTCTCAGTCTGCTTTCTCTGAGCCGGGAGGGTGCACTTTGAACTCATCCCAGTCCCTTTGCATCTGATAGCCAGAGTTTGCTCCTAGACAGCCACCAGTTCTGGCCACCATCTACAGCTTGACTTCAGCTTTCCATCTTCTGTATGTTTTCCTTTTCTATTTTGTGCCACCCCAGTCTGCAACCTCCTGGTTGTACTTGGCCCACGGGGCATCCTGTTCTGCCTGATAATCCTGGGCCTTCTGCTTGGCCTTCAGGCAGGCAATCTCCTTTTCTCTCCTTGGAGTCTCTCTTGCTCATCCTTAAACTGTGCTCCTTGAGCCACCTTCTTGGGGAACTCCATCACCATCTGGTCTTCCAGCTTCTGAGTGACAGCTCTGCCAGTGGTTTTCGTGCACTTACTCTCAGCTTGCACCTTCAGCTTTTGCTGGCATCTCAGTTTCCTGTCCCACAAATCCTCTTCATGGAACTGTTCCGTGTTCTCCAGCATCTGCTCCTTCTGCTGCTTTGTAAGCAGCAAGCATTCCTCCTGGTTCTTTTCCATCTTCTCTACAATGGGCTGTCTTCCTCATAGTCTTTCCTCCTTCCTCTCCCTATCCAGTTGTTCCTGCCTTTGAATGGATTTCTGTTGCTCTGCTTCTATCATCTGATCCAACTATTTCTCCTCTGCATCCATCTTTTTTTGTATCTGCTGCTTCTGCAGGATTTGGGCACGCCTTGGCATTGAGATAATCTTGTTTATGTCCTTAAGCTCTTCTTCCTGTTCCATGCACAGCTTTTTGGCTTTCTGCAGGAGGTCCTGGGCCCACTCCTTGGCCTCCTCCTCCAGGTCACTGAGCACCATTTCTTGTGTACCATTTCCGTCAGTTTGATGATCTTGAGCATTGTTACCACATCCACAATGGCTTTCTTCTCCTTCTTGAAGGCCTGATCCCTGGCCTCCAGTTCTTCTGTGGTCACATCATGGAATGCTCTTTTGATCTGCTCAAACCCCTCCAGAGCTGATTCTTAGCAATTCTCTGAAGAAACTGCAAGTTCTCACATCGTGTCCCTGGTGCTGAGCTGGATGGTCTCTGGCTTGTGGTCCAGGGCCAGAGCAGTGAGTTCCCTGGATGGCATGCTTATCTCACAGCAGTGGTGGGGCTATCTCTGTGGGCCTCAGGATCGATACCTCCAGAAAGGCTCTTATCTTTCTCAGAGTTCACAGCTTTAGACTGATAGCGAGTTCTGTTTGTGTTCTCTTGGAAGCAGTAGAAGAGGTGATCAGGATGCCATTTGTGCTTAGCGTCATCTTGGTGCCTCTGCCACCCACACCACAGCAAGGCTCTGGTTGATAAGTTATAACCCTTGTTTTCTTGCCTGGCCTCTCCTAGCTTCTGCTTAAGTTTTATTTTGGACATATATTTAGGGTTGTAAAGTTTTTCTATCTTTGTAAAACTTATACATTAAATTTTAGATATGTATGATAGATAGATTAATTAATTAATTAATTAATTAATTTTGTACTGAGGGTAGAACCCAGGGCTTTTACACTGAGCTATACTCCCAGCCTTTAAAAATTTTTTTTAAAATTTTGAGATAAGATCTAGCTAAATCCCTAAATTACTCAGTCTGGGCTTGAATTTGCAGCCCTCCTGCCTCAGCTTCCCAGTGTGCTGGAATTACAGGCTTGTGCCAACATTTTGATGTTCTACTTTGATCTTGAGTTGTTTAGAAGAGTTTCTTCATCCCTAAATTATTAAGGTGTGTTTCAATTGGCTTTTTCATTGTGTTGCAGCAGATGTTCAATGTCAAATCTCAGCTTTTTAAAACTAACATTTTCTTTGTGTGGTGTAAAGTCCTAATCATTAAGTCTGATATGTTTCAGTTTTTCACATTTTTGGCTCTCCTGATTTTGTGCTGCTTGATTCAGTACAATACTTGGAAGAGAAATAATTAAAAACCTCATTTTAACAGTTCATGTTGTAGTTTTATATGCTTAATAGTTTTGTGTATCTGGCGCAGGGACAGACATAAGCCTAATGATTAATGCATTTTCTGTTATTTTTCTTTTATTGGATGCTGTTATTGTAGGATCACTTTTTTCAACAGATTAAGCACTTTTTAGAGCTCCCTGTTATATTTACATTGTCACAGTAACTTTCATTTTTATTGTATTTGGATAATGTGCTGTATCTTTGTCTCTATCTTTATTTTATAATTTTACTTGTCTCTTTTAGTATTTATAAACAATACTTTTTTTCTAGATATAGCCTACCATCTCTGTTGACAGCAAAATTTATTTTTCTATTTAGTGTAATGATTTACCTTATTTTATGTCATTTACCTTATGTTTACTATTTAAATCTATTCTATTCATCTGCTTTCCCTTTTCATAATCTCATTGGGATGATAAAATTTTTATTCATTGTTTCCATTCTAAATGCCACAAAACTGTTTTTTTCCTAAGCAGGAATGTTTTATCATAATATATTATTATTTTTTTCTTTTAATGACCTCCTTATCGCATCATCACAGTGTCCTTTTTAATAATTACATATGCAAGAATTATTGCCACACAATATTTTCCTATTTGAGATTTTTTTCTTCTAATTAATTTTAGGTTTATTTGGACTATTCCTATGAATATTTTCCATCAGATAGTGAGATACTCTTCAAGTGCTTTGGTTCTCTGACTCTGACTGGGAAATGGTATTTTAGATGTGATTTCCAGTATCACTGAGCTTTCATTATTGCAGTTGAGGAGTCTTAATTTTCTTTATTCTTTCTCTGTAGATAGTATAGTGTATTCTTTCACTTGTGCTTTAGATTTAGAAGTTTTAAATTTTTCCTGTATTTGTTCACTGGGTTCCTGTGTGTACACACACGTGAAGTTTGTGGGGAAGACACTAATGGCACATGCTTAGTTGTGCTGATCCCCGGAAGTGTGTGTTGCTTTCTAAGGATCCATGGCATATGCAGGTGATTAGGGCACTGGGATGGCTGGTAGAGATGCATGATGGGTAGCAGTATAGGCATGAAGGCCAGTAATGGGCACATGAGATTGACTGACGGACAGCCAGGACTATCAGTGTAGAGATGTTATAAGTTCTTTTTTTTTTTGGTACAGGGATCAATTTCGGGTCCTTGTGCTTGCGAGGCAGATGGCAGAACCACTGAGCTCAATCCCTGGCCCAAGATGTTTGTTACAAGTTCTTGATCAGGGATTATAGGTTGGGAACTGTGGGTAGCAGGGCTTGGGAATTCATGATTGGAGGCCTGAATGGCTTCTGGCTGTGGGGTCAGCTGTGCAGTAATTGACAGCTGATGCAGTCCGATGAGTAGGAGGAGTTAGGTGCCATGGATAGTGACAACTTGGAGGACTGGTGAAGTCAGTCGAGAATGTCTGACACAGGAATTACGTTCTATGTGAATTGCTGATTTTGTAAAAGTGCAGTAGCTGAGTGGCCCTCACCCTATGGCAATGTCTCTGCTTGAACATTTTTTTGTCTCAACAGAACCCTGAGTCAGGCCACTTGTCTGAACCTTCAGGTCCCTTTTTCTGGCTTTAGCCCCACTGCTGCTGAGAAGCACCAGTAGTCTTTGGATTGGATATTTACCAAATTTAGGATTTTGGAAAAATTGGAGTTCCAAGATACACAGGTTAAAGCGCGCGCGCGCACACACACACACACACACACACACACACACACAGTGTTTTGAGGGCATAGTGTGATAAATTGGCTGTTTATGATTGGCTGCAATTTGCCTATGTATTATACTCTTCTGTTGGGTTTTTGAGCTTTTTGGTTTGTTGACACAAAGTTGGGTTGAGATTTGCTTGTTGGGGACTTGAGGTATGGGGACAGCCCCAGGTCAGATTTAAGTTAATTTAATAGTGGATTTAGAGGTTTGATCAAGTTCCTTTTTTCAGTTGTTTTTGGCAAGACCACAACTCAGATAGTATTGTGTATTTCTTTTGTGAAACATGTCGGCCCACCATTTTTTGCAATGTGAGCAACAATCGATGATCATTTCTGAGATTCCCTATTTCATTATTCCATATTCCATTTCTACCATTCCCGCTTGGTACATAAAGTAAGAAAAATTCCTACAAGATTTGGGTTACTGAACGTTTCAGCTGTATGGGAAAGGCAGCAGAAATGCTTGACTTTTCCCCTCAATTTGTAAGTTTCAACAACAGCAACAACAATGCGGTTCTCTAACATTTTCCAGAAGCTCCAGAAACATTATGTCTTGAGCTGAGTGGCAGATGCACAATATGGAAAATATGAAAAACGCAATAAGCTGCATGTCTAATGTTTATAAACTTCTCATATGTTATTCTGCAATAAAACAATTACCAAAGCAGCCACAACCTTTGCTTATATGAGAAATAAAGAAATATGAGAAATAACTAAATTTTAAAAGTTAGGGAAAAAATACTGGGGAGGATTAAGCTAAGGTCAGAGGGACACAATAGCCAATATGGAGGCCTTGATTAAACTGTTTCCAAACAAAATAGTGAGCGTGTATTTTGGGAATAATTGGAGTATTTCGAATATGAGCTGAATATGTAAATGATATTAGAGAATTACTATTAATTTTCTAAGGCATGATAATGATTTGCAGAAGATTTATGTGATCTATTTTGGCCCAAAGTATCCCACCTGAAACTTTCAAATTATTCAACAACAAAGTATATAAATATAGACAAGGCAAAATTTTACCTCTTTTCTCTTAGGGTTTTGTGTGTGGGTGGTTGTGTGTGTGTGGGGGTTGCTGAGCTTGAGAATTAAAACTGTTAAATATATTATCACAAAAGCACATAAATTTTATTTGACGTGGGAACCTTCATAAAGAAATAAAGACCCAAAGAAGTGAGAAAACAAATAAATATGTGTTAGGTTGAACAAAGATAGGTAGTCGTGGAAAAGTAACTAAGTCAGGTGGAGAGGCTGAAAGGAAGATAAGAATTATTGTTAGCAAGGTCTGTTTATACTGTTTATATAAAATTTTCTAGGCTGAGGCTCCTGATTGAAAAATTTTCCTTTTGTTATAATGAAGATATCTTTTTACATGGAACCTTTATCTATTTTGAGAAAGAAAAGAGGACTAGAAAAGGAATGTTAGCGTGTCCCTCTTGCATCTACTATTTTTCACATACTGTTAGCTTACAATAGCCTTTATGCCAAAGTGGCATATGTTGGAGTATGGGTATTGCCACCCTTCCCACACACATTTAAAATAAATAAATAAAATGAGTTTATATGTGGCTATATGTATGCATGAAAGATTAAGCAAATATGACAAAATGCTAATTGTTGAAACAAGGTAGAGGATGTCTATATATATGTTTCTTGTACTCATTATTAAACTTTTCTTTATGTTAGAAACTTTTGTAAAAACAAGTGGGAAATAATGACTTGGCTTAGATCTTAAGGTTCATTACTAACTAGAATCTCATCCATTTACTGCCTTGTAGCCCAGACACAATTTCCACTGAAAGTGTTCTTTTATTTTTGTTTTTTTGAGACAGGGTCTCACTATTGTAGTTGAGACCGACCTGGAACTCATTTTGTAGCCCAGGCTGGTCTTGAACTCACAGCGATCCTCCTGCCTCAGCCACCTGAGTGCTGGGATTACAGGCATGTCAGTCTTTGGGCTAGTGACAGAAGCTCAGAATACAATTATCGGGAGGACAAGATATTATTTTAAAAGTTGTTTTGCTTTTTTTTAGCAGATAAAACCATAAACATTAAAATTACCTATATGTTACTCAAATATTACATTATGTGTTCATATATATTCCTGATAATATTCACTGTATATATGCATAAATTCATTTGTGTATACATATATGTGCATGTTTTTGTGCCTGTGTGTGTACACACAAGTAAACATAGTATAATGAAAATTGAATTATGCTGTTTGGTACATCTTTTCCTTTTTTCTTGGTGTTTTGACCTGTTTTTCTACAGTAATTAAATTTTATAGAACGTATTTTCCTTTGAAAGTGTCACAAACTGTTTAATGGAAAATTAGCATCAAGATGTTTCTTGCTTTTTCTTTCTTATTGACTATGTTATGATAAAACTCCTGCTTTTAAGTCTTTGTACAATATGGGATGATTTTTTAATGATATAATTCTAGGCATAAGTTTTTGGTTCAGAGGTGAATTAGGCACTGAATGACAGATATATCTCTTTTGACACTGATACAGTTCCTGCTCTCATCTGTACCTCTGCCTATCTGTTTTCTCAGATCTCTGCCCCTTTCCCGGAAGAGCCAAAAATGAACAAATCCCGGGTGAGTTCTTATTTGTTTGTCTATTTATTTGTTCTTGACTTTATTACCTAGTGGATTTTAGGAGGCCTCTCATACTCCATATAGTAACAAGTGTTAACAAGATGAATAAACACTAAAAACAAAATGGAGAAGACTCTGAGCTCCCAATCAATTTTGGAATATAGATACATGTGCTTTCTAGTACACATGTATTCAGTTGTCTCTGATTTTTCTGACCGTAATGGAAATTGGACACATGGTTTATATTGTTAACAAGTAACTTATTTCATCAGTGATACTAATTTTTCATCTCTGACTGAAAAAATTTTGATAGATCTTTAGATGGTGGTAGCATGTCTTCAACATCAACTCCATGCACACTGGCTTATATGTTTCCCCGTTCTCTTGTAGAGTTGTGTTTCTCACACCTTACTTGCATATGAATTCAGATTCTGAACAAGTTTGTATTCCTATTTTCCCAAAGAGTGTCAGTGCTACTTGTCCAAGGAGCAAACTTGAGTTTTATCATGAATAGGTATTAACTTTGTCAGATGTTTTTTCTGTATCATTTGACATGATCATGTGATTTTATTTTACTTTGGTAATCTGTTGATATGGTAGATTACATTGATTTTTGACTATTGAATCAACCTTGCTTTTGTGGCATAAGCCTCTACTTTGTCATGGCATTGACTTTTTTTATATATTTGTTGTTAAGGATTTTTGCATATTTATGAGAAATATTGACACACACATACACACACCCCCACCATCATACCAGGATGGCATTGGTCTTTGTATTTCTTGTGCAATTGGCGTTTTGTTCATGAAGTCTTCCAGAATTTTACCTATTCTGTCTTCAAACACATTGTTTCTGTTTTCATATATAGATCTTTGAGCCATTTCATTTTAGTTTAGTGCATGGTGAGATACATAGTTCTAGGTTTAATCTACAGCATGTTGAAAGCCAGTTTTCCTAGCACCATATATTAAAGAAGCTTTCTTCCAATGAAGGTGTTTGGGTCTTTTGTAAAAGATAAGGTAACTGAGTGTGTTTGGAATTGTTTCTGCCATTTCTATTCTCTTCCATTGTTCCTTGGGCTTTTGTTTTGCCAGTACCATGCTGTTTCTGTCATGGAAGCTTTGTAGTATAGTTTCAAATTGAGGATTGTAATGCCCCATGCCTTGCCTTTGTTGCCTAGAATTGCCTTTGCCCTCCTAGGTCTCTTCTGGTTCCATATGAATTTTAGGAATGTTTTCTCTAGTTCTGTGAAGTATGTTATTGATATTTTGATCAAGATTGCATTAAATCTATATAGCAGTTTTGGAAGTATGGCCAGTGTCACTACATTGGTTTGACCTATCCAAGAACGAGGGATATCTTTCCATTTTCTGATATGCTCTTCAATCTCCTGTTCCAGAATACTGTAGTTTTCAATGTAAAGATCTTTGACTTCCCCTGTTAGATTAATTCCTAAGTATTTCATTTTTCTTGATCTGTTGTGAAAGGTGTTGTTTCCCTGATTTCTCTCTCAGTGATTTTGTTTTTAGTGTACAGAAATCCTATTGATTTTTGAGTGTTGACTTTGTATCCTGTTATGATATGGAATTTGGTTATTAAATATAGCAGTCTTTTGGGGGAGTTTTTAGAGTCTTCTATGTAGAATATCATGTCATGTTATCTGCAAATAATGATAATTTAACTTCTTCCTTTCCTATTCTTATTCCTTTTATTTCTTTCTCTTGTCTAGTTATTCTGGCTAAATGTTTCCAGAACTGTATTGAATAGGAGTGGCAATAATGGGTATCCTTGTCTTGTTTCTGATTTTAGAAGGAAAGCTTTCAGTTTTTGACCATTTAGTATGATGTTGGTTTGTCATAGATAGCTTTTTATAAGATTGAGATAAAGACCTATTCCAATTTTCTGTAGAGTTTTTATCATGTATGTGTATTGGACTCTGTCAGATGCTTTTTCTGCATCTATTGAGGTGATCATGTGTTTGTCCTAGGTTCTGTTAATGTGGTGTATTACATTTATTTAATTGCATATATTGAGCCATTCCTGAACCTCTGGGTGAATCCTACTTGGTTGTGTTGTATAATCTTTTTGATGATTTGCTGCATTGTTTACCAATATCTTATTGAGGATTTTTGCATCTGTGTTCATCAGTGGCATTGGCTGGTAGTTCTCTTTTTTTGGTTGGGTCTTTCTCTGGTTTTGGTATCAGGGTGATGCTTCTAGGAATGAGTTTGGGATGATTACTTCCTTTTTTATTTCATTAAAGTTTGACTAGTTTGACTAGTGGCATTAGATCTTCTCTAAAGTTCTTGTAGAATTCTCCAGTAAATCTATCAGGACCTGGGCTTTTCTTTGTTGGTAGTTTTTTTTTTTTTTAATCATTTCTTCAATTCAATTGACATTAGATTATTTAGAATTTTAACATCTTTTTGATTCAGCTTTGGTAATTCATATGTATCCAGAAATCTATCCATTTCTTCTGAGTTTGCCATCATATTTGAGTACAGATTTTCAAAATAGGTACTGATGATGTTTGGATTTCTACAGGATCTGTTGTGATTCTTCCCTTTCATTCCTAATTGTGTGGATTTGAGTCTTTTTCCCTCTTTTTAAAATAAGGTTGGATAAACATTTCTCTAGTTTATTTAATTTTTCAAAGAACCAACTCCTCTGTTCTTTGATTCTTGTGTTGTGTTCTTAGTCTCAATTGCATTAACTTCCACACTGATCTTTATAATTTCCTTGCTTGTACAAGCTTTAGGTTTAACTTAATTTTTTTCTAGAAGTTTGAGGTTCAACATTAGGTTATTTGAGTTTGCTCTGTTTTTCTGATGTGGGAATTCACTATCAACTTCCCTTGTACTGCTTTCATTGCATCCCATAATTACTGGTATGTTGTATTGGAATTATTGTTCAGTTGTAAAAACTCTAATTTCTTAATTTCACCAGTGATCCACTGGTTATTCAAGAGGGTATTGTTCAATTTCCATGTGTTTATATAATTTTTGTGGCTTTTTCCATTTATTTTCAATTTCATTACACTATGAAATAATATACATGAGATAATTTCAGTTCCCTGCATTTACTTAAGCATGATCTATGAGCTAGTATATCATCTATTTTGGAGAAAGTCTCATGTATTGCTGAATACAATTTGTCTCTTTGTGACTAAGGGATGTTGAGGTTTCACATTACAGTTGTATTAGTGCTGATCTGGTTTGTCCTATACATTAGTGTTTGTTTTATATAGTTGTATGTGCCAGTATTTGGTGCATATATATTTATGATTATTTCTTCCTCTTGGATTGTTCCCTTAACAAGTATGCAGTAACCTTCTTTGTCTCTTCTGATCAGTCTTGGCTTGAAATCCACTTTGTCTGCAAATAGAATAACTACCCTGCTTTTTTCCAGGTTCCTGTTCATGGAGTATTGTTTTTCTCTTTTCTCTTTTTATTTTTCTGGTTTTTGGTTTTTTGAAACAGAGTCTCCCTGTGTAGCCAAGGCTGGCCTCAGACTCAATGTGTAGCTCAGCCTGTTCTTGAACTAACAGTGATCCTCCTGGCTCAGCTTTCCAAGTGCTGGAATTACAGGTGTGCACCACTATGCTTAACTGAAGTATTGTTTTCCATCTTTTGACTTTCAGTTTTTAAATTTCTTTTGTAGTTAAATATGATGCTTATATGCAGTGTATTTTTGGATCTTGTTTCTTGATCCATTCTGCCAGTCTCTTTTTGATTGGTGAATTGAGACCATTCACGTTGATAGTTATAACTGATAGGTATTGATTTATCTTTGTCATTGTATTATTTTCCTGTTGTTGGTTCCTCTTCTTCCCCCTCTATTAAATGGCCTTGCCAGATGGATTCATTCTATTGGGGTTATTGGAATTGATGACTTCATTATCTCTTTCTAGACTATCCATCAAAACTTTTTGGAGTTTCTTCAGATGTTCTTTATCATAGAAGTATCTTATTTCTCCATACATTTTGAAAGATAATTTTGCAGTATTGGGAGTTGTTTTCTATTAGAGCTTGAAATACTTCAAGCTCTCCTTGACTTAATGGTTTGTGTTGAAAAATCTGCTGTGATTCCTTCATATGTGGTTTTTTTCTCTTCTTGAATAGCCTCTCTCTCTCTTTCCCTCTCTCTCTCTCTCTTTTTGGTACCAGGGATTGAACTTGGTTCCTTGTGCTTAGGAGGCAGATGGCAGAACCACTGAGCTAAATCCCCAACCTTTTTTTAATAGCTTTTACATTCTGTTCTTGTGTCACATTTCTGGAATCTTGACTATTATATGCCTTAGTGTGGATTTTTTTTTTTTTGATCATGGCTAATTAAGGTTCTTTGTGAGTCACTTATCTGTATGTCAAATTTTTTTTCCATGTTTGGGAAGTTTTCTTCCATGACTTCTGTGAACAGGTTTTTATGCCCTTTCTGCTGTCTTATTTGATTCCAGTTAATCTTATATTCTTCTTCTTTGCATCATCTAGCAGCTATTGGATTGATTTTTCAATCCAATAGCATGGTCCCTTGCTATTTTAAGAAGTCTTTCATTTGATGATTGCCAACCACAACCCTGTCTTCTAGAACTAATATTCTATCTTTACATTGGTTGATTCTGCTGTGTATGCATTCAGTAGAATTTTTAATCTCCTAGATATCTGTTTGCATCTGTTGTATGGCATCCAGCTCTTTCCTATGTTAGGCATTCATGGTTTCTTTAATCTCCTTATTTTTTAAATCTGTATCTATTATAGATTCACCATCTCCTTCATGATGGTCATTATCTCTTTAGTTACCTGTGTGGTTATTTGTTTTGTTTTTGTATAGGGACTTATTCATCTGCTTTGTTATTTTCACTGATACCACTTCATAAAATTCAGCTGGGAGGCTTTTGATTTCTTCCACTTCAGTGTCCACTGGGCTTGCTTTGGAAAATTGGGTGTGTTGAATTGCATCTTGCTTCTGTGTTTTCCCATTTCTATATATTTTTGTTGTTGTTGTCATTTATTTGTTTTCTGAATTGAAACTTGTAAGGTTCTTATATTTGTTTTCTGAATTGAGACTTGTAAGGTGCTTATGGTATGTGGTTTTATTACTACAGCAAGCTCTCTCTAGATAATGATTACTTTTCAGAGCTATCTTCTAGGTGTACCTTGCTTGTGGCATTTTAGTCTGTCCCAGGAGCCTACCTTTTCTGTTTATTAAGGATGAAAGGTTGTAGCCTGTTTGGCCTAGCATCCAGATCTTTGGTACTGGTCTGTAGTATTGGCATACAAAGATGATCAATTGATCACAACAGCAATGTTACTTTGGCTAATTTAGTACAATCAGTAATAACTATAGTATCAAACACAAAATAGAAAATGGCAGAGTGTAATAACATAATACTTTGTTACCTTTAAACCTAGGTACAGAATTTAATTATATAACAAGATGTAAAAAAAAATCAGAAAATTATATACAGTAAACATCCCCTCGATATAGCAATTTACTCCCTTTCACAGTAAATCAGTATTCAGCCATAGTAAGACATAGTTAACTACCTATAGATTCATAGGTGTTATGGGTGTGGTACTATTAAAAAAAAAGAGCAAAAGAAATAGATTATGGAGAGGGGGGGAGAGGGTGAAGGGAGGGCAGGGACAAGGGGAAAAAATGAGAATCAATACCTATTATGTAAAGGTACAGGATTCCAATAATGAATGTAACTATTGTATACCTGGATTGTACCAATAAACGCAATAAAAAGAAAAAAAAAGAAATAGATTATGGAAAACAAAGCCATGGTAGCTATGAAGAATGTGATAAGATTGATGTAGGAGGTCCTGTTAAGGAGTAAAGGGAAATTAGTTGTATTAGAAGAAGGATATAGGAGAAGGATGAATGATAGGGAATGGAGATTAAAGTAGAGGAAAAAAATAAGAAAAAATACTAAGGGAATAAGTTGAAAGAGAAAAAGTGAGAAAAGAAGGGAATAAGATAGTAAAAGGAGGACCTATTCAAACAAATAACATCCAAAGGGGGCCAAAAAATCGGTGGTAAAACTCCAAACACCAAAAGAAGAAGAAGAAAAAACAAACAAACAAACAGTGAAAAATAAAAAACATAGCAATAATGGAGAAGAAAAAAAAAAGTAGTTCCTATATATTTCCAGAAGAGTGTTTTCTTCCCAGGTCAGAAGTCTTCATTCTTTTTTTTTCCCATTAAGTTTATTGGTACAATTTAGGTATACAATACAGTTACATTCATCATTGGGATCTTGTACCCTTTACATGACATATCTGATTTTTGTTTTTCCCCATTCCCCTGCCCTCCCTCCACCCCCTCCCTTCTTTGTTTACAAAAACTTTGTTTGCATGTTTTTCCTTTTCTCATGTTTTTTCTTTTCCCTACCCCTCCCACGTCCCCTACTCCTTTAGACCTATTTCTTCCTATTACACAATATCAATTATATATTTTGATTCTTATTTACACTTTTAGTTTTTCACACCAGAGAAACTTTGGTATTTGCACATGTGTGTCCTATTAATTTCACTTAAGAGTATGGCCTCATTTGCATCCACTTATCTATAAATGTCTCTAGTTTCTAGTTCTTTATGGCTGAGTAGTACTCCATTTTATATATTAAAAAAAGAAAAAACCAGAAACACATCTTCTTTATCCAGTCTCCAGCTGATGGGCAGGTGGGCTGTTTCCAAGTTTTAGTTATTACAAACTGCTCAATAAACATGGGTGAGCATATATCACTGTGGTATGATTCCTGTAATTCTTTTGGCCCAGCAGAGGAATAACTGGGTCAAATAGGACTTCTGATCCTAGTTGTTTGAGGTTATCTGCATATTGATTTCTACAGTGATTGCACCAGTCTGCAGTCCCACCAACAGTGAAGAGGGGCTGCTTTCTCCCCACAACCCTGTCAACGTTTGTTATCAAGAGAGACATTTTACAACTGTGGATATGCCTGTTTCTCCTTTTCGTATGGCCAATTGTTGTTCATTAAATTTTGCAGCTTTGTTTGGTGCTTGATATATTTGAGATTTTTATGTTGTCTTAGTGAATCGGTCCTTTTGTCATTTACGTTATGGTCTGGATGTTTGTGTCCATCAAGCCTTCATATGTTGAAACCTTAACATCCAGTGTTACTTGAAGATATGGTCGTTAGGAGGTAATTAGTATCCTTTGAAGAGGAAGAGATCAAAGTTCATTTCCCATTCGCCATAAGACACAGGAAGGCAGACATTTGTAAACCAGGAAGTGGGCCAGTCACTATGAGCACCTTAATATCAGACTTCAAACTTTCAGAACTATGAGAAAGCAATAATTGTTATTTAAGCCTCCCAATCTATATTTGTCAAAGCAACCTTAGCTAAGACATTATGTAATGTTCCTGATAATTTTCTTTCCTCTGAAGTCTATTTTATTTTTCATGAATATAAGCATACTTGTTTTGAATAATATTTGCATGTTATATATTTATAATAATGTACTAAGACTGTAAAACAAACTACCATAAATGAGAGAGCTTGACACAACCAAAATTTATTCCTTTACAGTTCTGGAGGTAGAAGTACAAAATCAAAGTATCATCAGAGCCGTGCTCTGTCTTGTACCTTCGGATGGTTGCTGGAAATCCTTGGTGTTCCTTGGCTTGCAATTGTTATTAACTCTTATTGTTTTCTTTGTCACATGGTCATCTCTCTGTATCTGTTTTCAAGTGGCATTCTTTCCTCTAGAGAACCTAAACAGAACCTATTTTATTTTCACGGGATGTGAATTCCATACTGACTGTTCTTTTCTTTCAGCACTTGAAAAATGTTGTGCCACTTCCTTTGGATTGCACAGTTCATGGTGAGAAATTCACTCTCATTCAAATGATTGTTTCTGTGCAGGCAGTCCTTTCTCTCTAATTGCTTTCAAGTTTTTCTTGAATTTGGTTTTCATATATGTATATGATGTAGATGGGCATGGATTTATTTGATGTTTTCCTGTTTGAGACTTTCTCAACTACTTGAATCTGTAGACTTTTGCTGAATTTGAGAAGTTTACTAACTATTATTTCTTCTATCTTACTCTTTTTCCTTCCTTCAGGGACTAATGAAATGATTATTAGACCTTCTATTATTGTCCTATAGATATCTTAGGTTGTAGTTTTTTTTTTTTCTGTGTCTTTCTATTCAGACTGGATAACTTCTGTTGATCTATCTTCAGGGTAACTAATTCTTTCCTTTGGATCTTCATTCTGCTCTTAATATCATTCAGTGAGGGCTTAAATTTTAGTTATGTACTTTTCAGTTTGGTTCTTCTCTACTTCCTCTACCCCCTCCAAGTGCTGGGGATCCATCTCAGGTCCTCACACTTGCTAGGAAAGTACTTTATTACTGAGCTATTACCCCACCACCACCCGATTCTTTTTTATATCTTCTATTTCTTTCCTGAGACTCTTTGTGTTTCTGTTTGTTTCAAGCATATTTACAGCTACTTGTTGGAATATTTTTGTGTTAGTAACTTTCAATCCTTGTCAAATAATTCCAGCATCCAGCATCTATTTCATCCAGTGTTGGCATCTGTTGAAGATCATTTCTCACTTGAGATTTTTTACTTCTTTGATATGAAGAATAATTTTGATTTTATTCAGGACCTTTGAGTATTATCACTTTATAAGACTATACTTCCAAATCTTGTGTTTTAGCAGGTAGTCAACCTATTTAGATTCAGTATCCTGGTCTAGTTTTGGGCTATAGTTCACATATTATTTTCATTTTCTAAGTATTTTTGGGCTTATTCAGATCTCTGTTCTTCACTTTAGACTTTTTCTATTTACTTACCTTCAAGTTCAGTAATTCTGAATTTTTCTGGTAGACCTAATTAATTATTCTTAATTTTAGATATTGAATTTCTCAATTTTTAGTATCCTGAGGAGAAAATGGACATGTGTTTTCCTCTCTTGATTTTTTTCTGTCACCCAGGTACAACCTTCTATTGTAAAAGCAGCTTCATGAGTCAGCTTAAGTCTTCAGTGATTTTTGCTCTCCAGTCTTAGCTTTTTTGTTACCTCGGCATATTTGTAGTCCTTTCAAACAGATGACTTTAGTGTTTCATTTGGCATGTATAATTATTCTTGGAGGAAGTGCTGGATAGATGCTACTGTGTCCTGTCTGGATCACAGTGCCTCAGAAGAGCCTTCCCCTTCATATGCTATATGTTTTACCCATCAGAGTGTACATTTCATTTTTAATATAGTCATTGAGTTGTGCCACCATCATCACAATCAGTTTTAGAAAGTTTTTTTTACCCCTTCTTCCAAAACTTCATTTTTTTTAGCTGTCACTTTCAAACGGCCCCTATTCCTCCCAGTCCAAGCAATCACTAATCTACTCTTTGTCTCAACTGATTTGCCTATTCTAGACATGTTATATAAATGAAATCATGTAATGTATGGAATTGTATGGACTTGCTTTTTTAGTCCTTTCAGAATTAATGCATTTGCAGCATGCATCAGTGCTTTATTCCCTTTTTATGGATGAATACTGTTACATGGATATAAAACATTTTCTTTATTGTTGGTAGACATTTGGGTTGTTTCCAGTTTTGGCTGTTATGACTAATGCTACTGTGAGCACTCATGTAAGTTTTCTGTAGATAGATGTTTTTGTTTCTATTGGATTTATGCCTAGAAGTATAGCTGATGGGTCATATTCTAAGTCTCTTTAACTTTTGGGGGATTGCCTGACAGCTTTCTGTTTGCATCATTTTATATTCTCACCAACACTGTATAAGGGCTTCAACTTCTTTTCCTTACTACAACTTATTATCTGTCTTTTTTTATTACAGCCATCCTGGTAGCTACACTTAGGTGATGACTAGTCATCTCATTGAATTTGAAGGAATACCTCTACCTATTTTTTATTTCTACAACCTGATGACGAATGATGCTGGGGTTCTTTTGTTGTTGTTGTTGTTGCTGTTTTGAGCTTATTGGCTGTTTGTATGTATTCACTGGAGAAATGTATATTTGAATCATTGTCTTTTTTTTTTTTTTTTTTTTTTTTTTTTTTTGAGACAGGGTCTCACTATGTAGTTCAGACTGATCTGCAACACACTGTGTAGCCCAGGCTGGTCTCGAACTCACAGTGATCCTCCTGCCTCAGCCTCCTGAGTGCTGGGATTACAGGTGTGCACTACCACACCTGGCTAATTGGCTCATTTTAAATTGAATTGTCTTTTTTTATTGAGATTCTTTTTGTGGTACTGGGATTGAACCCAGGGAACTCATATATTCTAGGCAAGTGCTCTACCACCTCTAAGCTACATCTCCAACCCATATTGAGTTTTAAATATTCTTTCTATATTTTAGGTACAAGTTCTTTAACAAGTACATAATTTGAAAACATTTTATACCAGTCTGTGAGTTGTCTATCCCCTGCTCCCTGGCCACCCCTTCTTTTGTGGTCCTGGGTATAGAACCCAGAGCCTTTTCCCTGAGCTGCATCTCCATCCCTTTTTATTTTTCATTTTGAGACTGAGTCTCACTAAGTTGTTCAGGCTGGGCTTGAACTTGTACTCCTTCTGCCTCTGTCTCCCAGAGTGCTGGGATTATAGGCATAGGTAATTAGCTAGTACACAGATTTTTATAAAGAATATTATCAATATTGCAGAAGGACTAGCATGGTAAATTTTAAAGGACTTCAGATTTTCTTCAAAATAACAACACAAAATATAGGTATTTGGATCACATGCTACAATCTTGATTCTTCCCCGAATTTGAATTCCCCTTGGAATTTGTTTTCACAGAGAGCAGTGTCCTTTGAGGACATAACTGTAGACTTCAGCATGGAGGAGTGGCAGCACCTGGACCTTGCCCAGAAGAGCCTGTACAGGGATGTGATGCTGGAGAACTATTTCAACCTGATCTCAGTTGGTGAGCTCAGCCCTGCGGGTATATAACAGGCTGTGCCTATGTTGCTTTATTTTCTTTCTTGATGCACTTTCTGAAATCTGTGGGTTTTCAGAGACATGTGGAACTTGGAAAGGCTGTGAGATATCTAGAGTATGTAAACAGTTTCTTGATTAATAGTCTCTTGGAGTCTGAATATACCTTTGTCCCAGTGAATTTTTCTAGAAAGTATATAGCATACTTCATTGTACGGCCTCTGAAACCAAGTCCTCTATTGTTTCCTGTTGATAGGATGTCAGGTTCCCAACCCAGAAGTCATCTTTAGCTGGAATCCAGAAGAAGAGCCATGTTCACGGGGAAGCAAGAACTCAAGTCAGAGTTATCCAAGTGAGTGAGGAACCAAGAGCAGGGAAGACAGTGTGATTTCCCTGCAGATAGTGCCATCAGGGGCTGGCCACTTTAAAGTGCTGACAATATGACTTTTCTGCTTATACTCAGACTGTATAGAGTTGATGTTGGTCCCATGGACATCTAACTACTGTTGCCCACTGCCTAAACCAGGGTGTTCTTTATATCCAACTCTACATCATCCAGGATCCTGCTTTCTTGATTTTTTTTTTTCTTAGTTTCCGTAGAAAATTTTTATTCTTTCTACCTCCCGCAGGGCTTTTCATATGTATTCAAGTATTCATAGACCTGAATTCTTAATGGAGATCAGTGTGGGTAACAGTCCCATTCACTGATAAACTTTAAAAAACAAAAAAACAAACAAAAAGCAGGGTGTGCTACCACTGAGCAACATCCCTATCCATTTAAAATTTTTTAAATTTTTACTTTGAGACAGAGTCTCACTAAGTCGCACAGTTTGACCACAAACTTGCAATCCTCCTACCTAAGCCCCCCAAGTGGCTGCAGTTACAGCCATGCCACCACCATGTTTGGCTAAGGTGGGTTTATTTTATAATTTCCCCATGCCTTTCCTCTAACTGTTGACTTTGAGAGCACCATGAACATTTTCTTCCTACTTAATTAGTACAACACAACACTGACTTGATCTTTCTAATTTTCTTATTTAAATATTTTACAAGAATCCTTTATACCGCAAGTGCGGGAGATATAATTTTAGTTTACAGCCAGTATCATCATCAGCGTGTTTGAGGTCCCCCTCTCATTTCAGTCCCCACTCCCCATGTTCATTTTTATCCTTCCCAGAGGCAACTGCTCTAATTATGTGTTATCTTTGGATTTGTAAGGTATTGACAGAATCTAAGTTGTTGGTGAAAATAGTATAATGCACTAAGGCTGAAATTTTTAAAATTTCATATAGTTATCTTCTCTCTCTAATTTGCATCTCTCGCCCTCTGGTTCTTGGGAAAAAAATTTTTTTTAAATCCTTCTGAAATAAAGCAAAACAACCTCCTCCGCATATAAATTAAAGGTCTAGTTTTACTCCATATTTTCTATAGAAACATTTTTTAGCAGTATGGGGCAGCTGACTACAGTGGTGCACACCTGGAATCCTAGCACTTAGAAGAAGTGAACTAGAAATTTAACACACCACAATCTGGATGCGTTAAAAAAAGAAAGAAAGAAAAAGAAACTGAGTAACATATTTAACACACTACCATTTTCATAAATTAAAACACCAACAATTTAGATTCTGTAAACTAAGATTATAATGAACTCAAAACTTAAGCTAGGAAATTGAAAGAATTTGACTTGTATATTTGAATTTAGTAAGACAGTAGACTAGTGACTAATGAAGAGACAGCTTGCATATGTACATTTTATTGGCCTGAATTATGACTGCATTTGATTGAATTAGTAACCAAAACAGTGGTGACAGGAATTATATACAGGTAAATTTTTAACTCAAGAACACTTTTTGTATGGAGTATTATTAGTAGTAATGTAAAAGTTTTCAGGCATAGCAGAGGGTTTGTAAGCTAAAGGAAATAAAAAGTTGCAGAAGGTGAGATTCTGTGTCTAAAAATCAAGTATCAGATGTCCTCAGGATTAATCAATATGTGTGAGTGAAAGTCTGATGTAGTGCTTAAAGAGCATGTTTGGAGGACAAGACAAGGTCCTAGATGCAGAATAAAATAAGATCAGACTGTGTCAATATTCAAGTATCTATTTGAATAAGATAACAATATTATTTTAATTTGTACACAAATTGTCACTGAGAATCTATTGTGCCTTATATAGTATTCCAGGATTTGGAATGTTCATATGATTTGGGGCAAGAATACTAAGAGTAAATTATAGAATAAAGCCATGCTCCTGTAATTAAGAGACACCAAGGAACAGTGAGTTAGAGAATATAAACATTTACCCCTTGCATGACAGTTCTAAGGTGAGTGGTTCAGGTTCTTCCAGGTGACTACAGCGGCCTTTCGGGGACAAAGTTTCTAGGAAGTCATTGCACCATCATCTAGGGCAGTGGTGGTGAACCTATGGTACATGCATGCTGCAGCTGGCTATTTGTTATCATTTAAAACTCTAAAAGATTGCCATCACTGCCATAGGGCAGAACTTGGCAAACCTTTTCTATAGGGCACAGCAGTGAGTATTTTAGGCTTGGGGGCCCTATGCTTGTTGTTACAACTATTCATGTTTGCTGTTTTAGCCACAAAGCAGCTGTAGAATGAGTATTGCTATGGTTTGATAAAAACCTTTCAGAACACTGGAATTTGAATTTTAAATAATTTTTATATGTCATGAAGTATTATTTTTGACTTAGGTTTTTGTTTTTCAACCACTTAAAAAAACATGAAATCCATTCTTAGCTTTTGGGCGAAGGCCTGGGTTTTGGTCCAGTGAACTAGCGCTCTGATCCCTGGCCTAGGGCATTGCCAACTGCATAGAGCTGGTTGCTGCCAAGTCTGAAATACCAGTGGGAACAGAAGAGGTTTGTGAGAGACATACTCACTAACTTAAAACTTTGGCCTTATCACAGCAAATGTAAATTTTTTTCCCATTTGATTAGTAAGAACTAAGTTACTTGGTCCTACCTAATGGATAAATAAGACTGACAAGCCTAGTGTTGGGAGGTAGCCATGTACTTGGCCACAAGATTAATACTATACAGAAAAGATTAATGCTATACAGATTGATACACAAGATTACTATACAGATTTGATGGGTGTCTCAGCCTCAGATGCCTGGCCCTTTCTCCTGTTTTTCCTACTGTGTATATATATATATATATCTGTATGCTAAACTAGGAATGAAGAACTGGATCATAGACATACAGTTTACCCTTTGGCTGAGTCAAGATGACTGAGGCCACAGTAGTTTCACTATAAACATAAATAAGTTGGTATTTATGGCACAGTAGTTAATAGGTAAGATACAAATTGGGGAGATAGAGTTTAGAGATGAAGGATAAGATTCTAGACCTTGAAATACTTCTTTTAGGGCCTGGAGGTATAGCATAGTGGTAGAGCACATGGCTAGCACGCAAGAGGCCAAATTTGTTCTTCAGCACCGCACTCTCCCCAATACTAACTTTCCTTTAAGGTACAGGACTTGTCACTTTTTTTCTGGCACTTTCCTCACTTCTACATTTGCTTGGATTTGAATCTTTTCCTCCTCAGTAAACATTTGACTTGGGCGATTATTAAACTCTCACAGTTCAGTTTCCTCATCTGTCAAGTAGGGACTTTGATACCAGTAGGAGAGGATTGTGATAAAGTTTAAATGAGTTAATATAGAGGTTACAATAGTACATCTAAGTGCTATTATTTATCATAAGGTAAATAATATTAATTCTATTAATATGTTAATGTTAATTTCATTAATATATTTATTAGCTATCATATATTCTTATATTTATAAAAGCCTCTCCCTTTTCTGTTTTTACCCTGAATTAACTCAATGTATCAGTTTTTCTGTCTTCTGTTAGTTGTTCTTTGTATCAGTTTAAACTTTTCTCTTTTTTAGGTGGAGATATTGGTATTGAGAGTTTACAACAGGAGCTGTCTGAAGAATTGTTCTTCCAGTCGGAAATAATTCATCTCTTTATAAGAGATTTAGAATTGTGGAAAGATGATACATGGAGAGGGAGGTATGAGGAAAACCAGAACAAACAAAATCATGTTGCCTTCACCAACAAGGTAACACTAGCTAATGAGCTAGACTGTGAGGACACAGGAAAAATGGCTCCTGTACATACACATCTTGTTACTTCAAGAAGAGGATTCCACCAGGGCAGCTCATTTGGAAAGAGTTTGAAGCCTGTCGCAGGCTTATATAATCGTAATAGAAATGATGCCACGGAAAATCTTGGTAAGATTATTGGATATGGGGATATGTTTACTCCTATTAATTCTCATCCAGAAATGAATGTGGGTGCAGCTAATCAATGTAGGGAACTTCTGAGCCCTAAGCAACGTCTCATTCAACATGAGAAAATTCATCCTGAGGAGAACTTCCGTTTGTTTTCTGACTTTGTAAAAGATTACACCCAGAAGTCACCTCTACTTTCATGTCTGAGTATTTATGCTGAAAAACAGCAAGAGTGCAGCAAACACGAGACAGTCTTCACTCAGAAACCCCAGCCAACTGTACCGCAGAGGATCTTTACTGAAGAGAAACCCTTTATGTCCACTGAATTTGGGAAGGATTATTCCCTCAAGTCAAATTATCAGAAAACTCATAATGAAGAGAATTACTATAAATGCAGTGAGTATGGAAGAGGCTGTATCCAGAAGTCTGATCTGTTCAGTTGCCAGCAATATCTTACTGGAGAAAAACTCTATGAATATGGGCAGTATGGGAAAAACCTTCCTCAGAATTCAAAACTCACTATACATAAGAAAGTTCCTACTATAGGGAAGGACTTTGAATGCACTGAATGTGGAAAAGCCTTTACAAGAAAATCAACACTAAGTATGCATCAGAAAATTCATACAGGAGAAAAACCTTATGTATGTACTGAATGTGGGAAGGCTTTTATCCGGAAGTCACATTTCATCACACATGAAAGAATTCATACTGGAGAGAAGCCCTATGAATGCAGTGATTGTGGGAAATCTTTTATTAAAAAGTCACAACTACTTGTGCATCAGCGGATTCACACAGGAGAGAATCCCTTTATCTGTTCAGAATGTGGGAAGGTCTTTACTCACAAGACGAATCTCATTATACACCAGAAAATTCATACTGGAGAGAGACCTTATGTATGTACTGAATGTGGTAAGGCCTTTACTGATAGGTCAAACCTCATTAAACACCAAAAAATTCACACTGGAGAGAAACCCTACAAATGCAGTGACTGTGGAAAATCATTTATCTGGAAGTCTCGGCTCAGGATCCATCAGAAGTGTCACACTGGTGAGAGGCATTATGAATGCAGTGACTGCGGGAAGGCGTTCATTCAGAAGTCAACACTCAGTATGCACCAGAGAATCCACAAAGGAGAAAAACCCTATGTTTGCACTGAATGTGGGAAGGCCTTCTTCCACAAGTCACACTTTATTACACATGAGAGGATTCATACTGGAGAGAAACCCTATGAATGCAACGGTTGTGGGAAATCCTTCACTAAGAAATCGCAACTCCATGTTCATCAGCAGATTCATACTGGAGAGAAACCCTATAGATGTGCTGAATGTGGAAAAGCATTCACAGATAGGTCAAACCTCTTCACTCACCAGAAAATTCACACTGGAGAGAAACCCTATAAGTGTAGTGACTGTGGAAAAGCCTTCACTCGGAAGTCAGGCCTCCATATACATCAGCAGTCCCATACTGGAGAAAGACATTATGAATGCAGTGACTGTGGGAAAGCCTTTGCAAGGAAGTCAACACTCATTATGCATCAGAGAATTCACACGGGAGAGAAACCTTATATTTGTACTGAATGTGGGAAATCCTTCATCCAGAAGTCACACTTGAATAGACATAGAAGAATTCACACAGGAGAGAAACCCTATGAATGCACTGACTGTGGGAAAGCCTTCATTAAGAAGTCACAGCTCCATGAGCATCATCGAATTCATACAGGAGAGAAACCATATATTTGTGCTCAGTGTGGAAAAGCCTTCACCATCAGATCAAACCTTATTAAACACCAGAAAATCCATACTAAACAGAAGCCCTATAAGTGCAATGACTTGGGGAAAGCCTTAAACTGGAAGCCACAACTTACAAGTCCACTCAGTATAAATCAGAAGTCTGATATTGTAGAGTGCCCAATGCTACAATCATGGCCTGGTGATACAAAGAAATCAGAGGCTACAGCTTGAAACAAGAAGCGGGAGGTAACCATGAATCACCTACCACCTTCAGTCTAGTCAAAATTAATGAATATCTGTATCATATATCTGATATTCATTATATATCTGGAGAGATCCTTTGGAGAAAGTATCTAATAAGCAATGTGTCACAGTCATACTTGGTTATGTGACAGATTGACAGGCTCTGCAAATAGTAAAGATGCAAAAGGTGGATGATTCGGTGCATGCCTACAATCCTGGGTAATCGGAAGCCTGAGGCAGGAGGATCAACTGAGCCCAGGAATTTGTGACCAACCTGGGTAATATATAAAAGGTAAAGAGATGACTTACAATTTCTCTTTGAGTAAACAGCTGTATTAAGTCAGGGCTGTTGAGTTTTTTATGCCTTTGGTGGCAAAAACCACTTGGTATTGACCAAAAAAAAGGTAGAGTAGTAAGAAAATTTTTGTTGTGTAAGTCCCCTAAGAATTCTGAGATCAAGGCAGAAGTTAGTTAATTCATGTCTTTAATGAGAAGAAAATGGACAGTTTTGTGAAAATCGACACAAGGGACTCTACTTTTCCTTTGAGAAGTTATTTATTGTTTTTAGCGCTTACTGGTATATGCTGTGGCACTGGGTTCTAGGAAATCTAAATGGGCTTCCTGCCAGTATCCCAGCATTGATCAGTGATGTGATAGCAATTTTGTAATTGTGTCACCTCAGAACTGTCCCTTAGGTCACAGAACTTAGCCACAGGGTCCTAGATCTAGGTAACAACACTTTGGATCCTCAACTTTTTTCAAAGAAAACTGTGCTTTCTTAATGACTTCTGTTTGAAAAAGGGGCAAATTAAGAAAAATGGGTTCCAAAATATTCTTTGCCTTCATTTTTTTTAGTATGTCCTCTGTATATTCATTGCAGGCTAGATTACCATGAGGCACTACTGCTCTGCATTTCAGCTTGTTTTCTTATATAGTTCAGTGATTGGAAAAGTACTTTTCCTACCCACTCCATTCTTTACAAATTAATTGTATTTAACTAGATACTGAAATAAATGTCATAGTCTTTTGCAGAATAATTGTGACTGTCTCTTGTTTAAAGGGTGTGAGTTCCAGAAGAGTTGGGTATAAGTCAAACCTTATTTTAAAAATACAGAAAGAAAACTTGTTCCTTAGAAATACTCTTTTGCAAATGTTTTATAAAAGTGAATGACTGACTAGCCCCAGTTTTATCAATTTTACAAACGTGTGGAATCGTGCTTATTTTACCTGTGTTTCTTTAAAGGCCACATAGTAGCTGAGTGATGAGTCTAGAGCATTAACTTCCCACCTTATAAATTAGACACAGAACCACACATGGATTAGTAAATGATCTAATTGCTTAGAATACCATTTCTTCCTCTATCCCAATATAGTGTCAAAAATCCCTTTCAAGTACAAATATATTTTATTTTTTGAGACAGACTCACTATGTAGTTCAGACTGGCCTTAAAGTCATTGTGTGGCCCAGGCTGGCCTCATATTTGAGGCGGTCCTCCTGCCTCAGCCTCCTGAGGGCTGGGATTGCAGCCATGTGCCACCACACCAGGCTCAAATATACGTTTTATTTTGATCCACCTGACCACTAACAGTCAGTCTACACATTTTTCAATGAGTTTTACCTTGAAGGACCGTGTCTACCAATGCCAAGGTATTGGTAGACTGGACCCTGTGGAACAAAACATTACCCGTCTCCAAACAGCACCTCAGAACTGAGATGGATGGATGGACGGTGGAACCACCATGACCTGATGAAAACATTCCTGGGACAGCATTTCCAGCCCCCTCCTCCCCCCACGTTAAAATCGAATATAAAGTTTTACCCTGACAGCGTGGTCCTCTCTTGGGCCCGCCAGCTGCTCTTTTGCGGCACATCAACAAACTTAACTCTTCTTTGTTCTTGACTACTGGTAAAGTTTACCACCAGCAACATCAGTCTCGCACACTGCGCCTCATGCTGCAAAACATTTTCATTTACCAGATTTACTCAAAAACGTTTAAAAAACTTTCACCCCTCCACATAGGGCTGCTCAGTGAAGTCAGTTAACACTGCTTGGCCAAAGGACAGAACCAAAGGGTAGCATTAATTTCAAGGCCTGCCAGGACTGCGGGCCTAAGAGCCGCCCTTGGGCGTGCTGTTTATGTTTTAATAAATACCCAGCTCTACCCGCTGGGTGGAAGGAGCCTGAGCGCGACCCGGCAGAGCCACCATGCCTGCATCCCAGCAACCCAGCCGCGCGAGGGCAAAGGAGAAAGACAGGCGGGTTGGGGGTGGTGGGCACCTGACTGCTCAAATCCGAGGGCTGCGTTCCTGAGGCGGGGGGCGGGAGGCGCTTGTTTCCGCGGCCCAGAGCAACAGGGTCCGAGCCAGAGCAAGGAGTCCCGCTCGACTAGCCAAGAGCCCAGGACGCGGTGCGCTGAGACG